CTTATAGAGATAGCAAAGACAAAACAACTTGCCTGTATAACGCTTGAGTTTTTGAAGTTCAGGAAGTAGATGCTACTGGAGACAAAGAGGCTAGTTTAATGACATATTGTATGTTTTTTTGAAACTGAAGTTATTAAGAAAGCATGATCCATTTAAGATCACAGCAATATAGATACTAAAAAATATTTCCAATTATCAAAGTACAAAGAAAAATGCCAATTTTAAATTTAAATTTTGTACACTTCCTTATTTAGATCACTATTTCAATTAATAATCTCCTTGCTAGCAGAAATATCTGGTGTTATTTTTCCTTTTTTTTTTACTTATTTTTGTTCTTTATTTTCTGAAACAGATGTGTAATACTGCAGCCTATATTAATTCCCTCTTCCAAAATATTACAAATAATTGGAGCACAAAGACAATACTACATAATCAACAAGATAATAACAGCATTTGAAATGGTAGGGAATAATACAAGAAGTAGGATGCACATGATAAAAAATGACAAGGAAGTTTTACCAGGATATGTATCAGGGAAAAAGAAAAACAGTCACTTCAGGTAGTAGCCATACTTTACTGGATAACATGAGAAAGAACACAAAGAATGTTACTGGCAAAAGAAATTTCAAACTTTGAGCTGACCCTAGAACTCTGGGCCTAAGCACAGAGACTGGGTTGAGTCCATACACAGATATCATGAAATACTGTAGTTACACAGGTTTCTCTCTTCTGCGATTAACAGTTTCGGGTCATTTGTGCAAACATTGGAAATTTCAGGTGTAAACCTATCTTCTGTACGACTCTGCCATCTGTATCATTCACTTTTCCGTTCTGTACCATTTCACTTTTGATGATATTTGTCATCATCTTGATTTCCTCATGTATTAGATTGTCCTTTAGAGATACTCTGAAATTAAGCCTGTCCATGCTCACTGCAAAAGTTATGTATTTATAACAGTGTGCAGTCTGTAGAAATACTTGTATCTAAGCACAATATATTTATTTTTCCATTTAAAATATATACTATAACTCATCAAAATGTAAGTGCATCAATTGTGCTATATAAATATATATAGCAGATCAGACACTGGTCACAAGCAGGTATTTGTGAACCAAAATTTAAAAACCTAAATTTCATAGAATGAACTAAAGTGCTACTAGAAAATTCCATCATCAAAATACGCCAACAAAACCCACAAAACATATTGCTTTCTTCATTTAACTGTTAAAAACTTTACACAAAATGCCATGTCAGTTCTATATAAATATGCTGAAAAGAAAGATTAATATGGCCATCTAGAGGAGAAAAGAATGATGTGAAAACATACCACACACATTTTCAGCCTTCAGAAGAAAACATTTTTAGAGGCATGCAGCCAGAAAATAGATGTAATAAACTAGTTATGTAATTGATAATAAGTGAATCTTAAAATAATATGATCAGGCATTTTGATGGTCTTAGTAATGCAAACGTATTAATATTATACATGTTTTTAGCAATGCAAGCAAAACTTAACAGGGTGTAATAATAAAGACAAGATTATATTTTTGTCACATTAAATTTTCTGTGTGCACTGTTAAGTGCACACACATCTAAACAAAGAAATTTAAAAAGTGAAAAGTGAAGATTAAAGTGCAAACACTTATTAGTAAAACTTTATTGACTCCTTTGAAAACACACAACACACTGTTGCAAGATACAACACACAAGAGAGATTAACTGCTGAAAATAACACAGTTTTCCAAAAATTAAATATAATTTTAATTTCTTATATTACTCTACCTCTGACAGAATTTTTAATTATATCATCAGAGGCTGTTTTACTAGCAATGAGCAGGTGGGAAACAGAGATGAGGCAAAAATGAATACTCTCCTCTGATTGATTTACTGTAGCACTATCAAGCCCTGTTCAACATACGGACTGATTTGTGCCTTAAGCTGGAAGTACAGCTGAAATGTTTAAGTCTTAGATGTAGAAATGATAAAGTACATATGAGGAAACAGAAGTACACAAAGTCAAATATATTGAGAATTGTTTCTCATATTAAGTAAAATACATAGGAACACAATGTTTGCTCCTGCTCCTCTACAAACAATCAAAAAATGGTTCTACCGTTTGTCTTTACACTTCTTATAAAAATAATTCAACAGTCATAAAAACCAAGTATATAATTAAAAATGTCAGGATTCCTATGGCATCAGTATTCCACAGATTTATTTCGCAAGTTTAAGGAGCAGGAAAGCTTTGAATTTTTAAAAATGACACTGAAACATCTAGAATGTTGATACTCTCCACTTGGAATCAGAGATTTTTAACCTCATCTGTACAGTGAATTGTATCTCTGAACACATCTAAACTGTTTGGTAGCAATAGTCAGTCTCTCATTTATTTTTGATTGCAGGCTTTATTCATGAGGTTTCCACCTTTTATTTTCGTCAAAGTTCTATGTTGGGCAGCTTTTGCCCTGTAATGATCATGTCATAACAAGGCAAGTTCCGTCTTTTCCTCTATTCTAACACATTTTTATCATTGCACAAAGATTTTTTTCTTTTCTGATTGAAATAATTTAGGAAGAACATAAAAATAATAGCACTAATTATTCTAGTGTGCCACCTTCAGGTCACTGAAAAGTAAAAAATACTAGGTTGTTAATCTGTTGCCATGTCCAATACCACAAAACTCTTTTTAATACTACTGAACATAATTTTGTTAAGATTAATGGATTACAAAAATGAGACAAAATCATCACTAATTTGCAAGCATTTTGCAGAAAACGGTAGAATGATTGCAGGCTATCAAATAAATAACAGTGTTGATTCTCCAATCCTTGTAAAATGTGGGAAGAGAATGCTCTCACAAGCAGGAACAAAAGCAAAACACTGACAGCATTAAAGCTTTTTTGGAGAAAGCTAGTATAAGTATGCAGTTAAAAATTCACAATTTTCTAAGTTAGAATGTTTTGATAGTTCTTGCTTTAAAAGGTTTTTTCCAAACTCTGAATGTTCTTTCATTATAATAAATTCAATTTGCATACTAATTTTAGAATGAATATGTGTGTGCATATATATAAATGGGTTTTACATCCAGCCAGCTTCCTGAATGGAGAGAGCACTGAGAAGAGATAGCAGCTGGTGACAGATATCTTTAGCAACATAAGAAAAGACAAAAAAGGAGGAGGGGGGAAACAATTGTAACTTTGATGATGCAATACCTGGTCTTGCCAATAGGGTTCTTTTGTCTTAGATTCTAACCATGATATAGATTTCCAGACTGGAGTTCTCATTCCCCAGAAGAGGATAAAAGTCAGTGACTATGAATTTTGATGATCTGAGAGGATGTTAAGGAATATAATTATTAAAAAAACAAAACAAAAAAACTGGATACAGGCTACCACAATGCCTTTTGTATTACAGGGCCAAAGTAAAAAGCTCAGATGAACTGACAACTTTTCACTAAGAAGGTGAACTAGGTAAGATTAAAAAAATCCAAACAGTTGTGAAATAGAAGGAGGAATGTCACATGTTCCTTTTAACATGAATTACTCTAGGACTATTTCAACAACTGGCCTCAATAGTTTGAAGAGAGACAAATACTTTATTCTGGGTATCTGAAAGCAGTCGCCTTGTATAATTTGTATGTGGTATTATTTGTTAAAAATACAATTGGGTTTTCCATCTTCTGTTAATATACATCACCATTCTTTCCCAACAATGACATAAGGATGAAAAAAAAAAAGTATTTTATCATATTCTCCCACCAACACTGTTGATAGATCTCAGTAGATATAAAACCCAAACATGATACTTCCACTGTCCCCTCTTCCTTGTTGTCCATCACAGTGTCTTAACACCTCACCTCACCTCTGCATCTCCTTCCCTATTTACTAGCACTCACTCCCAGCCTTTCTACAATGTAACAGCAAAGGAGAGAATCAAAATTTCTGATGATCAGAAAAGAATCTTCTTACTCTGCAACTTACTTCAATTATGGCTTTCATGTCCTTTGAGTCTCAACTTGGAATCATGAATGAGCATACACTAATTTCAAATTTCAGTGGCAAATAAACTTTTATGTAATTGAATTACATCACATAGTAGAAAATTTAAATTTTTTCACGCACTTCTGGACTGTATAGAACATTTAAGGACACATATCTTTTAATTACATGTATCCACTTTTTATTAGAAAATATCAATCACTAAAAGACCTTTGCATCTTAACATATCAAAGGAAGACCAACGAACATTTTACTATAACACAGCATCTATATTAGAATCTGACTTCTATGTAACTTCAACAAAATCTCACTTTCCATGTTAGAAAATGGCTACAGACGGAGTTCTCATTTGCAGCTCTTTTCAAGCACAAAAAGAATATTGACAAAATATTGACAGCATAATTCTCAGCCTCTATGTCTGGTTGTCACCCTAACTTAAAATCAAGAAATATATACCCCAGAAGAAACATCCATTATTTACATCCGACTTTTAATGCCATGGAAAAATTACATTAATCTAATCAGTGTAATAATTCCTTTCTGTGATTTCAAGAGATGAAAAGATACAGAACATGCCAGTAATGCACACCACAATGACCATGTGTACCGTAACCAATAACCAATTCCATTTACTTTGCTGTTATGACAGCTTATCAATAGAGAAATAACAGGTCTTCTTTGTATTTATAATAACACAGGATTCATCAAGAGTTGCCATGTTTCTTTCCTAAAATAAACAGTTTAAAATCCCCCTAAAATAAAATGACTAATGCTAAGTTGTACAAAACTTAATATAACAAGATATCATTTGCAATATTTCTGGAAGAATGTGCACAAGTCTGTGCCATTTTTTTTTGAGCATGCACAAGTATAAAAGATATCTGGATATTTCTTGCAGACATTGACTATTTGCAAGTCAAGCTGTCCTCATCTAGGACTTACATATCCAGAACATAACTCTGAAATTTGGAATAAAAGGAATGCTTTTAAATCACTCTTACCTTCATCTATTGAGGCTTCACTACTGTATCCATCATATTCTGCAGACAGGGGACTATATTTTTGTCTGGTTTCCCATATATAGTTTTTTGGCTGTCTGCCATCCACCACTGGCAGCCTGGAACTCTGGGTTCTAGACAAGGCCTCATGATATTTACCCAGTGCTTCATCTTCACTCTCAGATGATGAACCATGCTGGTCTTTACTCATATAAGAGTTGTCTGTTTGAATAAAATAAAGCAAATCGACTACAGCTCAAAATGGCATACAAGAAAATAACCATATGAGGTTATCATTGAAGATATGTAAGCAATTTCAATTAAAATTTCTGTAATATCTTAAAAATATCATCTTCTTGTAACTGTAAGTACTACATGATTTTGTAATTGGTGAGAGCCATTTTTATTTTCTAGAAAAACTGAAATATCATTAAGCCCCCAAAAAACATTCTAAATCTTATTCAACAGAAAATGGATCAATTTATGTGAGGCAGCACACACTGAATTTATTGAAACCCTTCATTAAGTAAGAAAATGCTTAAAAGAATTTATGTTAAGTAAATCCAACACTGCTGCAATATTACATTTGGATACCTAACATATCAAAAAGGCAGCTCTTGATCCTCCATTCCCAGCTGATTTTTGCTGTGAGCATGGAGTATAACATAAAAATGAAACTGATTTACAGACAAGCCTACAACAAAATCGTCTTAGGTTATTTATGTCAGTAGTGCTTAAACTCACAATAATAAATGGGAAAATGCTAGTGAAAGATGCTTGCATGCACAATTTTATTTAACTTAAAATAAACAGCCCCTTGTTCAATAACTGAAATTAATGCGGATTCTCACTGCAGACATCTGGCAACAGGAAAAATTGCACAGAAGGACCTATCTCGTTAATTCTTTTATACCAGTTCTCCTACAATGCCCACTCCTGTGGCCAACTTTTTCCAACTACATCTCAAGTATGACTTCCTCCCACAAGTCAAAGATTCAGCTGCATTTTTATTTCTGTGAAAGGAAAGCTTCCTCCTCCCTTTTCCAAACCTCAAATGGATTCTGTCCAAATTTTACATGCCATGTAGAGGTTCTGTAGATCTCAAACTCTCACAGGCATTAAAAGAGTTCACATAAACTTAAAGGTCAGCATTACAACTACTCTGTGAGCAGGCCTATGGCATATGATTTGCCAATAGATTTCTATCACTGGCAGAGTTCCGAGATGCCCATAATACTGCTTTTCAGCTCCTGATTCTGAAGGGATATTGTCTAACATGCTATGCAGCCATGATCAACTGCTTCTTCCCTCCCTGCTTTCATGTCCTCCTCCCAGTCCCTGTCCTTAGCTCTAGTTCTGCATTTCCACTCCCATTAGTCTCTGCCTTCATGCACTGCCAGTCTCGCTCCTCTGCCTGGGTATTCCGACTAAAGGAGGGATTCCACTTACCCAAAATTCAGCCATTAAAGTAACTCAACCTACGCCATCCATCTAGGCCTCTTTTACAGTCAGGTGTTTGCCTCTTCCAATTACAGAGATCCTTCCTTCCCACTATTAGGTAAGCCTCTACAGTAGATGAGTAAAATCATTTCCTGTACAGGTCTATTTCTCCCTGGTACTCATAAAGAAAAGCCCATGCTGCAAGTTAAGATAAGACATCTTTTGCAAAGTTACATTTATATGAATAGAATCTTATCCTAAGTTCTTGCCTCCTGGCCCCATTCTCCATGTTCCTGCCCCAAGCACCCATTTCTGGCCTCTTATGGGGACTTCCTCTTTATTCTCTTTGTCCATTCAATCCCAAATTCTCTTTATTTGCACCTAACCAACTACTCATCTAACCTCAGTCTTTCACCCTTTGTCTCTCCACCTTCATATAATGTTATCCGTTCTCTCCATAGCTGTCACCCATTCTACTTCAAATCGCAGTCCACCACTTGCATCGTGTCACATTTGTTCAGGAAGTTTCTGTTCTCACATAAGTCATGTTTATTCTCAGTTCTTCTGTTCAAACTTCCAGTGTCCTTCAGTAACCGTAAGTATCAAAAGCAGGATAAGACCTGCTCTGTTCTTCAACCCCCACAATAAAGCATGTAAGTGCAAACAGGATGCTCAGTGAATTTAACAAGGAAATTTTAAGAAGTACTCACTATGCCTTTTTAAAAAGCAAAGTTTCAAATATTTACAAATTAGTCAAACAGACATGTTTTTTTCACAGAAGAACATGGGCATCTCTGACATGGGAAAAGTGCTCTCCCACATTCCAACTACATACTCCAATATACAAAGGCACCAAAGCATCTTAGTGAAACAGATGTGAAATCTACTTATTTTTTGCACAGATAACCAGAATGTTTTTCCTCATACTTTATTCCTGGAATCAGCTAAAGATTTTAAATTATACCTTTACAAAAAAAAAAAAAAAAAAAAAAAGACAGAAAACATGCCAGATTTCATCTGAAGTATTTCACATTTGGCATAGTTTTAAGAAACTGAAAATAAGGTAGGTCTTGGAATGGAAAATGTCAGGAAACTTTAACTCTGGACAGCACTACCAGCTCTACATGCAATGTGTATATAATCTTGCTTTAGTGCTTATAGGAAAACTGGTGCCTTAAAAGACTGCTAATGAGCAACTAGATCTTTCAACGCTAGGCTATCAATTTTAATACAAGTGTAACAGATATGGTTCTTCTCATTGTATGGATGGCTATAAAGCAAGTTCAATTTCACTGATCACTTACTGAAAATATCACACCAAGCAGGATATATTCTGGCTAGCAGATTCACTGCAAGAGGCTGTTCAGAAAAAGGAACCTCCTTTGCTGGTACATAGAGTAAAATTTTGTATCTCACATAGCCCTCAACAGGTTGAAACCTGCCACCTAGGAAACAACAGATTTCCACAACTAAAGCAGGGCATACCAGGACTGAAATATACTGCCAGACAAGAATAGTATTTACATATATGAAATCAGGTTCATTAATCAGTCTCCATAAAGAATGGAATAGTAGAAAACATGGTAGCAACATTTTTGAAAGAAGTGCTGAAAGTTATGCCTCTAATAATACACTGATGTTTGTAAGCATCCAGAAGTTCTCAGTGATACCAGATATTTTTATTCCAGTTCTTAGCATAAAAGAAAAAGAATGAGGATGTATACTATTATTACAAGTCATGAAACAAGACCTCTTCAGAGGACTTAAAAACCTCATTAAATTTCAAACACAAGCTACTCACAGAAACATTTTTAAAATGAACAATACAACTCTGTTTCAGTTCGTTGGGAAAAAATAGCTTCCTACACATTAAAAAAATCCTCAGGGTTTTATGCTTCTCCTTGCCACTTCTCTTTTGATTTTTATAACTTACTTGGAAACTTGCCTAATAGAATTCATGTTCTTATTAAAAACTTTCCTATTTGGCTAACACAGATCATGTGTCATTATTAACCTACAGAAAGCTATTATTAGATCTAAAATGCCATTTTTGATACAGAATATACTGTTCAAATATATATTTGAAAAGCAAAAGGTAAAATGATAGTTTAGCATATGAACATGGAAACCACTTCCTAAATCAAACTTTAAAACAAAGCAAAACAACAACAACAAAATGCCAACAGAACTAATAACTGAAATCTTCAGGTAAAGGAAAACGTACACATACTAAAAAAAAAAAAATATGAAATCATTAATTTCTCTACAGAAACCGCATCTCCAGAAAAACCTATGTTGCTTTCTAAAAATTCACTACACAGCCTGCAAAACAATTGTGTAAAAATGCAAGATTTTCATTCTTACTCACAAACTATCACTGCAACTCCATTGTTATATTAAGACTGGATGTTGAATACAGCACACACAGCATACATATCAACAATACATATGTTTTCTTTGTAAGACTACAACTTTAAGACAAGCTTCATTCAGTTCTTTCTATACTTAAAATCACTTAATTGCCACTTCTCATTGAGTTCTGTGTCTTGAAATTATTATCTTACATAACCCAGAAATACATTCTGAAGATCTACTATAATGTAACAGAAGTTGGGTTTTTTTCTTTATCATTTTATCACATTTTATGTAATGATTTTAAAATATACAAAATAAAAACCACTTTCACAGAACAAATGTTAATTTCCAGTATTAATCAATTCATAGTTTTCAACAGAAAACACACAAGGCACTGCAGAAAAGGTAGGAAAAACTGTATATAGAAAAAGAAAAGTTAGAACATTGGACAGGCATTTATTAATCAGTTCCTTTAGGTAATACTTTAAAAAGTAGTTAACTTCCAAGAAATATCAACATAATTAGAGAATGATGCACTGACAACACAAACCTACTTTCATTCACTGGAAACATTATTATTAAATGCATAAATTAGATGAAAAAAGTAGGAAGTATCATAAGTTTCAGGAAAGGTTGAAGAATGCAGTTTGCTGATGGATTCCTCACCTTTTCCTGGTGTCTTCTTATTACATAGCTCTCTCTCCGATTTCTTTGAGTTTTTCTTTTTACCCACTTCTGCAACTGTAGATGACACATTGTCTTCATCCTTTGTTATGGATTTTTCTTCTCTCAAAAAAAAGGCTTCAGATTTCTTTTCTTTGATTTCATTAATGCAGTTGGGATGGTCATTGTGCATCTTCTTCAAGCTGGAGTCTGGTAATTTTTGCTTCTGTACTTCAGCAAGTTTTGCTTCTAAATCTTGGGGAATGTTCATACTGTGTGCTTCTTCTGAATCCTTAAAGTCAACTCCAGGTGACCGTGGTTTAATTTTTCTATGCAAATGATTCTTAGAATTATCTGATACTGCGTGGAGGCAATTATCTTGTTCCTCAACAGATTGTTCCATTGTAAATTTATTACTTTCCAGGTTACTATCCTTTAAGAACTTATCATTTACAAAACACTCATTTCCTCCTACTGCTTCCCTTTCATAAGGTCCTCCTACAGTGTTCAAATCCTGAGGTACTTCTGAGTTACTTAAATGATTATTATTATCTGCGCCTTTTAACTGGCACTGTTTTTTGTCCACGACATGGTCAGACACTCCATCTTGACTTGTATCTTTTTTTACAAAATCTAACGAATTAGAGTAATGAGTATCTTTATGTTCTGCAGTACCTCTTTTCACTTTCATATTCGTTTCCTGAGAATGAGTTAATGATGATGTATGCTCCTCTCTCCCTTCCACAGGTTTATCATTCTGTGTTTTAGAGCTTTCATCTTCAGCCCGCAGGCCATTTATCATGCTTGTTACTTGCTCTGTTACTGAATCAGCTACACTGTAGCCGACCTCTCCAACAACACTGGTCAGATCATCCACAGCACTGCTAAGCGTGTCGACCAGAGAAGACACAGAGGGAAGGCTCAGATTTTGCTGGAGGTTTCTGAAAAACGCCATTTGTCCAACCTATTCAGCAACAACTTTTAATACTGAAAGGTCCTCTGTTTCACAAACAGATCAACTCAATTTCTCCAAGTTCAACTTCAGAGCTATTTGCTTTGCTATCTCAAACTCAATACATTTACCAGGGGAAGTTGCAGCTTTGCTCTTTCCATTCAATATAGATTGAAAATAGTAAGAAAGCAGCTAAGTAAATATCTTGAAATGAAGCCACAATCAACCAGCAAAACCATAGTCTTTCATCAACTGCAGCATCAACTAGTCACAATAAAATTCATTATTTTCAAAAATAAGACAACTGTGTGAGGTGGAAATACGTTTGTGTTTTTTTTTTTTTATTCTAACCTGCAAAGAAGAAGTTGTGAGACATTTAAATTATGTCTTTTCATCAATGTCACACTAAAACAAGCTTTTAACATAACAGCTGCACAAAAATACGCATCATGGAGACTTCACCACAAAATACCTGTTATCTTTTACATAAGGTAAGATATTTTGGAACCTGAAGATTTGTTTTGTAGCAAAAAAAAATGTTAAGATGATCAACTTAATTTCCAAGCGGAGAGTTTTTCTGTCTCCAAGAAAATTGAAAATAAAAATCTAGCTGCACCTTTTAAAGAGGCAGAAGGGATGAAAACCTCTCAAATTTCCCATTCTGTTCTCTGGTGCCTGTCTCTTCCTCTGAAGTCAGCTAACAAAGCCCGTTCAATTTCCACAGCCCAAAAGTAGAAAGGGGTTATTTTACCAACATCCAATATCTTTTTCAATGTCTTTTTTTTTTTTTTTTCATTTCACATTATCATTAAAGACCTTATTCTATTAAAAAAGTATAGAATCAATTTGTTATTCAGGGATAAGATACCTTCAGTTTCTAATGTTTTACTTGTTTAAAACTATTTTCCAGATAAGTAAATGCAAGACCTTCTCCAAATGGTCGGTGAAGGATTTTAGTACTGAAAACCTAGTAATCCCGTTCACAAATTTACTTGAGAAGATTTAATTACACACAATTATGGAGCATTTAAAATATGTTCAAAAGTATTGCCATAGTGCAAGAGAAATGTTTTCCCATAAGTAAATGTCAACTCTTTGGCTATATAGCTGTTGAATTTCTGTGGCTTGTGAATACAAAGGTTTCTTCCTTTCCACACACTACACAGTCACAGGAAAAGTCAATACTGTGCATTTTCATCACTTCACTCAACTGATTGTTTGTATATTTCTACACATCCTTGTAAAAATGTGTGCTCTTATAATTAAGTTTAGTACACTGTATTTCGGATACTTACAAAGTTTATCTTGTGAATTCTTTCTTGTAGTATATCCTGAATCGAGATCTGGGAAACCACTAACATTTTCAAAACACATCTTCTTATTAATATATAGGAAAAGTAGCAACATGAGAATAATGAACACCCCGACAGCAGACAGGAATCCAATTGCTTCAGGAGATACTAAAAGAAACAGAAAGAAACACATTTTTAAAAGTCTTGTAAAAGTTGTAACATTTATCAGAATTGGTCATTAGTAATACTACCAAGGTTCCAAATATATATGCAAAATATAACTAAAAAAACACCATTTAAATTTGAATTAATGTTTAAGCATCTTTTCAAAGAACAGAAGTATTTGGTCCTAATCTAAGGGAGGACTGACACTGTGAGCAAGAGGTTCTGTCCGAGTACTGGACTCCATAACAAGACAGGGTGTCTGCAGAAAATGGGGAGATTATCAGCAGATGCCAAAAGGCTGATGATTTTTGATGGAATATCTGAGAGAGCAAGCACTGGAAGGGAGCTAAGAGCATCCCCCCTTCCTGGAAGGGGCTGGAGGTTTGGCTACCTGGACTCAAAGCCAACTCTAAGATAGTGCTGTTGGGGAGAGACTGAGCCCTTGATGATGAGGCCATTGCCTCTGCCAGCCTTGTTATACTCAACTCCCAGCTCCTCCTCCCTTAGGGACCAGCTGGCCCTCGCTGCTCCCTGACAAATAGTATACTGTGTGAGCAAAAAACAGCATGGGAAGAAGCACCTAACAATATGTTTCTTGCCCTGGTACTTGTACCACCTGTGTATAAACCAAGAAAGAGCCAAGTAGAGATAAAGCGTACTTAATCAAAACCAGGTAAGGAAAAAAGGCTGAAGTAGACTGATGTGTTTAGAAAGTATACAAAATGAAGAATATGTAATTCCTATTAAGCAGGTAACTGAAGGGAAGTATCGGGCATCTTTGCAGGGGTAGAATCTTACAAGTCCATCAGTACCTAAGTAACAACATCAGTAACACCATTAAGGCCAATATTACCTAGGAAATGGTTTTAGAAATATTAAATCTGGGAATGGATGTAGTAAATTGGATCAATGGGGAAAAAGTAATTAAAGGAGCAGCTTGTTTATTTGAAAGGAGACTGGGCAGAGAAAGGCATATAGAAGCACAGCAAGAAAGAAGATCTAGAAATGTAAGAAATAATGAACAAGTTATAAAAGCAGCTCAAGAACAAGAAGACACATCTTTTGACAGAAGAAGTGCAGATGCCCACAGACTATAATGAAGCTAACTTGCTTTATTAATCAAGGCTAACAGGATGTCAGAGGGAAGCCCCTTTGGCAACTCACTGGACTCTCCACTGGGTCTACATTCGAAAAACTTGATGTGAGAAGTTAAAGAGTGAAAGAATTGCAAATTTGTTACTAAGTAGTGTGGGAGGTTAGAGTGAAGGGTTATAGAACTATAACTCGATAATATTTGGGTGCAGTTTATATGAAAAAAGTGATAGAACTCAATAATTGCATGTAATTAACAATGGTGTAAAGCATTATAAAACTGTGATTCACAGTGGTATGTTTATTAGTTAATCTGTTAACTGGTTTATTAGTAGCACACTGATCAATCCATGAACATTATAGCCTATTGTATCAGTTATATCTCAAACCTGCATTCTAAAGAGGGAGAATAAGAACTTGGGGTAAGAATCACCTTAATACTTGGAGTGTTTTTTGTGGCCACAACACACAGACATGCACCTTCCAAGACTGAAAACTGCTGCATTCATCTAGACGAAAGCTAGGACTTCATATATCCCTTTCTTCCTGCTGTTTTTGCTAGACTGTGTCCCTCTACTCACTACCATAAATTCCACTCTTGGGCACTGATTTTTTTCTATCCATAAATGATTTACGAAGATTTATCAGATTTATGAATTCCACTTGCCAAGATCTTGGCACTTCACTTTAGGAGTATAATGTGTGGCAACATCTTTCACTATGTAAAAAGGAGCGGGATTAAAGAAAAGTTGGCAACAGACTCTGCATTCTCAGAGATGAAAAAGGACAAGAGGCAAGAGTCCGAAGTAGCAACAAGGAAAATTCCAGTTGGAGATGAGGGGAAAGAATTCCAGAATAAGAGGGGTTTTTCACTAGAACAGATTGCCTAGATTAGTTATAGAATCCAACTTTAATGTAAGCTCTACTTTGAGCAGGGGGCTGAACTGCAAATTACTTTCCCAGAAGCCTTCCAAATTAAATTATTCTCTGAGTCTACATATGTCCCTTGTAAATCTGGGCTCATACATCTATGTAAAAGTGCTGACTGAGAAACACATGCAGTTCCACAACCTCCTCAGTTTGTTTTGCAGGATGACAGGAATCATTTGTGTTTGTGGTTCTGTTGTTAAATAATTATATAGGTGTGTTTTAAAAACTGAAAAAGAAAGATCAAAAGAAATGCACCTTCCACCATCTAAAAGGAATTGGTCAGATTTATACTTCTATTTTGAGCTGGATATCCAGACCTATATCTGAAACTGTGAAAATTATTTTTGCTTCACTTTTCATCTCTGACCAGAAGAGATCACATAACATTATACCTAGAACACTGAAAACTTTCACATGAAAAGGAACATGCCAATAACTTCTAATCACCCATCCTGACAAAATTACTAAAGAAATACCAGAATGGCAACCAAAGAAGTCCCAAAATAAAACAGAAAACCCTATTAGACTAGAACCTCTATTTAGTCAAAATCAAATGAGTAAATTTTTTTCTTTTTTTATTAGATCATACCAGAAAAGCTAGGAAAAACAGGAGCAACTCTGAACTGAGTCAGGAACACTGTCTTCTGAAGAACTGAAGGCAAAGCTAGAAATAATTGGAAAGCTTAAAAATCTGACTTTCACCTTCCAACCCACTACAGTCCAAGAAAGAAGAAGAAATATAAGAATACAGTGTAACTGCTTAATAGGGCCAGAATAAAACAAACAGTGCAACAGGGAGGAGCAGGCATGTAGTATTTTCAATTTCAGACAGAACAACAGAAATACAAAGACCCATAGAGTTAGAGTTCTTCATCAGTCCTTCAGGATGAGATGTCCTGATGCATCAAGCAGAGCAACAAGGTGAGAATCATGGAATTCTATTCTGGACCAGAGAGGAAATGAAGCCAAAACATTTTTAAAAATATTTTCATTACCATAAACAAATAGAAGAAAAAAAAAATCCTTTTGTTCACAAAAGACATTGGTTGCACATCCTACTAAGATTACCTGATATTCCCTTCAGAAGTCTGCTTCGAGTTGTTCATAATTTAATTAAAATC